TTTTTGATGTCATCTTTCAATTGACGACACTGTGTGAAACAAAACAGGGAGAAAAAAATAGCCCTTGCTGAGTTTCTTGCCGGTTCTTCTCAGTACAAGGTCTCCCGCCGTAGATTTACGAACCGATGGCGTAGCGTTTGACTTTCACAAGAGCTTGTAACAGCCTAGACTGAATAAATGAGTTTGAATTTGAATTTGAATTTGAATTTGAATAAATTAACAACATATCTGATTAAGTTACACATTAGCAACCCGTGTGAATCACTAAACTTATTTTTTTTACTATTTCTAACGACTTCATTCCACAGATTTATCTGCAGTAAGCGACAACGCAAACAGATAGTCTGCCGATATTAAAAATACAGATCCACCCCTAGTTCCAAATGAATTTTTGTAATTCATTCATTTTAAAAAATCATTTTAATAACTTTTATTATCAAACATCTTTTGAACTGTTTTTTTTTTTAAATAGCATATTTGCGTTGTAATGGAATGATACACTATTGAGCAATACTAATTTATTAGATAAGGATTTTTTTTTAGTATTGACTAAATTGTCCATGGTAACATCCACAGAACACAGAAAAGATAGCATCAAGAAGCTTTTTCTCGAATAGTTCATAATTGCGATCGTAAAAATCATGAGAAAAAGTTTCTTTTTTTATTAGAAATAAAACGACACGGCAAAAGCATAAAGAATATTAATAACACTTTAACTGAACCAATATGAATAAGCGAACCTTTTAATTGAATGTTTCGCTTTGATGTGATATTTTAATGAGTGGTAAGATCGTTTTGTGTCTCATCGTATCGCGATGACCATTCAATTTATAAAGCATGCACTTTAATATCCTATTGTGCGTGGTTGATATTTAATCCTGTAATAACTTCATAAAGGTATGAGTTGGCGCCTTTTAATTTTCTTAGAACATAATTAAATTTACGAAGGCTATAATTTAGCATGTAATTTACTTATTATGCTTTTATGACGAAGGCATTTTTACTGCATGCATAAAGAATGTATTGCCACTGATGGATACTTATATTTTAACAAACAATGACAATCAATTACACTTCTTCTTGAAATAAAAAAAGTGGTAGTAGCGTACAACCCACTTTCACAATCAATAAAAAATAAATAATTCCAACACTTACACCAATAGGGATGATGACGGGGTACAGCAAACGAAATTCTATTTAGTCCGTCAGTTAGATGATCAAAAAATAATGGACACATATTTTTTCTTTGGGCAATCAACCAAAAATTGACAAAATTATAGCGCGTCAAAGTTTGGGAGTAGGGGCTCGTGACGTCACTTTTGAGTGAATTTTCACTAATAAGTGTACTCAAACGTGACGTCATGCGACTTTTCAAATCAATATATCTCTGCAATGTTTATATTGTGTAAAAAAAGAAAAATTACGTTTCTAATACTTTTTGATAATCTATCTGATAAACGAAGAAAAAAAAATAGTCATCATCCCTAAGCCCCAAATTAAGCACTGTCAGGCTTGTGTTATGGGATACTAGGGTAACGGATGGAATACATATAAGTAGATTTATATAGAAATACATATTAAACATCCATAACTGGAGTACAAATGCAAACGTATTCTTTACACAAGCATCTGTCCCCACCGGGAATCAAACCCGGGATCTCTCGAGTAGGCGACACCATGAAACCCGGCGTACAAACCAATCAGCCACAGCGGCCATCATCATTACATAAATAAAGTGCGACGATAATGAAGGTAAACTTGAATGGAATACATGATATTTGGAACCAATTCTTAGGCTGCGTTGTTTGATTTATAATAAGAATTAAAATACGTAAAGTTACTATTTTTAAAAAAAATTGACACATTTGCTATGTATTTGTGTTGATATTGACTAATAGTCACATTTAACTCTATATCAAACAACGGCCCCTTAGTCAAAAAACCGAAGAACCGAGCACGTGAAATATATCAATTTTCATTCCTTGATACGTGTCTGTGCGCATCTCCGGAGATAGTGTTTCAGAGAAATGTGTCCAGATGCGGCGGGCGACTGCGGGCAGCGCAGCACAGGGCAGGTGCAAGTGATCAATTAACAGGGATCGATGGCGGAGATTAGTGCGCGTGCGTCGCCGTGGACGATGCGGCGTGTGGTACAAGTTACGAGCGTCTGTCAATATGTTTCAGTATAAGTAATGATAAAACTGTGTTATTCTCAAAGTTGTCATACACGTTTCACAGTTAATTTTTGATAGAATCAAAGACTTTTTATTTCGTTGCCATTAGTTCGATAGAGATATATGCAGTATATCGCTCGAGGAGCTCGATATTAGAAGGCTCGTTAAGCCGTTGGCTTGCTGCTGCTTCCCGGCTGCATTTGTAGTTGTTAGCAGCTAACAATCCGCACTGATCCAACGTGGTGGGTCATGGCCCAATCTCCCTATTCCATCTTTAAGCAAGGCCTGTGCCCCAGCTGCGGGGACATTAATAGGCTGGTATGTGATATGCAGTATAACTAAGTCCACTTTCATAACCACAATAGATTAAAAAGTAAGAGATAGTATTCAACAGTGTTAGATACAACCAGTAATAATTTTTTATCACTATAGTAATATATAGGTATGTTATTAACGGGATTGTTACCTTTGTTTTCGAGTTTCTGATATTTCGGCACTGTACACACGGAGTAACTGCGTGATCATGGCGCTTGCAACAGTGCCTAAATATCGGAAACTCGCTAAAAACAAGGTACATGGTAACAATCCCGTTAATAACATATAATACTATGATGTTAATGACCATGAAAGTTTATAACAATATAAATATATTTGTCCCATTCGCTGTCGAGACCCTTGGTCCGTGGGGTCCTAGCGCTTTAATGCTATTTAAGGAAATAGCAAAAAGGTTAGTCGACGTCACAGGAGACCGAAGAGCTGGCAGCTACCTCGGACAAAGAATTAGTCTAGCCATTCAAAGAGGTAACGCTGCCAGTATCTTCGGTTCCTTGCCTAAAGGGACTCCTTTTAATAATATATTTTAGTTATTAATTTTATGTTTTAAGGTTTTTAGTTTTAGTTTTATTGTTCTAGTATTTATATTTTACTTATATATAGTAATTATGTAATTAGATAGAGACTTATTTGTTTATAGTTACTAATGTAATAATATGTCACAATATAATGTTTATCACTTTACAACTTCTGGTGCTGATTCAAGATTTAACTCACTTAAATTAAAGACTATAAGTTTATCGCTTGCACCACACGTCACATTGAAGATAGCTTTGCGAGCGCTCCAATCATTCGATGGTTGAGTGGCGCGATCGCTCGCGATAGCGATGCGCTGTAAATACGAAACAGCGTACGCGCAGACGACTGCTGCCATCTGGCAAGCGACCGCGCAACTGTGACCGCGGAAGGCTATATTATGATTAATTCCTCTTAAAAGTATCCGTATACTAATATAAGATTATACGCTTCTTTATAGTACTACTAGCTGACCCGGTGAACTTCGTACCGCCTTAGCGTAGCTTTGATGCACTACTTTATTTTTTTTTCTTTATTTTTTTTCCGTAAGAACCTTGAACAGAGTATTAGAAAACTGCAAAAAAAAATCAGCCAAATCGGTCAAGCCGTTTTCATGTTATGTCGTGACAACGGAAAACGGGTTTCATTTTTATATATATAGATTATGATGCTAAGTATAAACGGAATCTAGTTGCAAAGCTGGTGCTGTAAAGTTACTACCATGTTTTACCCTTTCCTTGGTCGGTTGGATCCCTTATCCAATAGTTTTAAGCAATCTTATTTATTTCAGTAAGAACAAATAATTTTCTTTGGACATTAAAGATCAAGTAATTTAATGCTTAGATAAAAATAAAGAAAGGACACAAGACTGCAAAATATTGTTGTTTGTTTGCAGTGCCTGTTTTCAAGTTATTATTTCATTGGCGAAGCTACTGGTGAGCTTGATGTTAAGCAGTCATGGGAGTCTATGGACGCATGCAAAAATAAGAGCCACAGTATACGCACGTTTCCGAATTTGTAAAAACTTATGCACAAATAATCTAATTATAAAAAGAAAGAAAATTTCTTAACCGTACATCGAAGGAAATGTCCCTGAAAAGTACTTCGTTCCAAAGAGGTGAGAATAAATTCACTCTCTAATGTAAGGTGGAGAATTCTTCACTAGAATATTTTATATTTGAGCAATAAATTACCAAAAGGCGACGGTTCAAAATCGGTAGTCGGTTTCCGGCAGCGACGAAACATATATCATTTGAAAGGTTGTTTAATATTATAACATGCACAGATACTTTAAATTTTTGATTTATCCCCGATTAAATTTAAATCGTATTTGAATACTGCACCACCTCTTGGCTTCATTTTTTTATTTTATTTATTTATTTGTATTCAGTCATCGTAGGCCCATAGACATATATACCTTATAGTCTAACATAGATATGTAATATAAAATAATTTCTACTATATTTAAGCCAATATGTAACACAAGAGAGTTTCTTACGGACATAACTGGCGGGTTTCGCAGGCAATCAACCTTGCTGATTATAATTATAGTTAAATCTATATCACGACATCAGCTTAGCCTAAGAAAATTATCTTTCGACTATCTCCAACCCCACTTAGAAATACAAACAATAGGACGACCCACCGATATAGCGTTTCACCTCGCATTCAGAAATACAATGTTCCCACGAACGCAACTATTTAGGTTGCACCTCAATCTAGATCTAATTGTTATATTTTTTTATATTAGTGAGTGATGGAGACACACGCCGCCGTTTCGTAAGTTTTCTATTAGCAAGATAATTTAGGTATGGGTATTGTGTACTTTATACTGGGATTTCTGCATAAGAATCTCATGAATAAATAGTGTTTTTTTTTGTTGCATCCAAAACATTATAAAGTAAATATATAGGTACAATTTGAAAAGTGACTTTTAATTCTTCTCCTTATTTATAAGATTCTGCAGTAGGAACGTACCTTTGAAAATCTCTAGAGTCACTATACCGACGATCACCGCGCGTATAGTAATCCAATCAATCTGTGAACAAAAAAAAGTAATTTAATTCATTGTTCATTGCATATCTATAAACAAAATGTTTAGTCTCTCTGTTTTCTTAGAAAAGTTTAGCATGACTAGCCGTTGTAGCCGTACTATTCCGCACTGGGCCCGCGTGGTAGGTCATGGCCCAATCTCCCTATTCCAGCCATACGGAATGCTTGAGCAGCAGTGGGGACATTGATACGCTAGTGACGAATAATTTATGTTTGTCACGGTCCCCATTTTGATGTGCACTCGTCTTTATCAAATATATTTTTGTAGGTTGGACCATTAACTTCTTGTACCGTTAACTGTAATCTTTCACACGAGGTGCCTACTTCTTTAGATACATTAAGCGCAGACGAAATTCACTTAACTACTTACTGTGACCGTTTGCAATTTTCATAATCGACTTCACATCCAATCATGGGTGTGCTGGAGTCAACGATGACAAATGACGAGACATCGTTCCGAAGTGCCGAATTGAATGCGTACATTAAAGGCAACGATCGAAGTACAAAATCTTACGGAATCTTAAGATTACATTATATATTTTATTGCCTGCAGGCAGAAAGCCTTTTATTAATAATAATAATATTTATTGCTTTTTCATGTAGGTTTACAGAGGTGTTACAAAGCATTCATTGAGATCCTTACACGAACCCGGTTAGGGCGTAACGACGTGCTTTAAAGAGCTTGTTTTTTTAAAAAATACATAAATATTATTTTAAATCACATTAAAAAATAAAAATCTTACTTATCAATAAAATTAATAAAATTCCATGTCATAAAATTGCATTAAAAAAATGAAACATTAAATTATTAAATACATAAATTATATCACATTAAATTACTAACAATCATCATTTTAATCCCTTGTTATTAAAATACTCTTGCAGTGTATAGCAGCCCTTAGAACAAAGGGCAGTCAAACAACTCTCATTTTTAAAGTCAATGGCAATCTGTTGTATATTTTGACACACATTGCAAAAGGGCTACTTTGGACCAATTTAAGTTTAGATATTGGTAGGGACAATTTGTTATGAGGACGCAAGTTAGCGGGCGCGAGTAAATAGGGAATTCTTTTAAATGATTTTTAATTTAATTTAATTATCTCTAATTCTGGCCAATAAATTCAATGGGATACCATCCTTGTCATTTAAGTTAGAAACTATACCTATTTATGTCTTCCTTGTCACCTGGTTCTGGTTGTGTACTTTCTATCATAGTTACCCTAGATCGATTAAATTATCAATCCAGTCTAACCCTAGTAACTTTCCCATTATATTCAAACGGCGTATTTGACAAAATTTGTTTTTTTTTTTGGTACGAAGATAAAAATGATCTCGTAGATGATGGATGATTACAGTCTACTGCTCGTCGCGGAATTAATACTAGAAAAGGGAATAGGGGTTGCAAGTTTGAAGAAGGAAGTCATGGCAACCAACTTTAAATTAATATGCCTAAACCAAGTGAAAGTAGGCCAAAAACTTAGTAATTTAATCGATTAGGAAGTCGTAAAAAATCATCTAACTTTAAAAAATCTAATCGGCAAAACTGGAATTTCATTATTTGAAATCATCTACATTAAAACATGATATGTATTAATTTAATATTATTCTCAAAACTTTCTGTTTATAATGTATTAATTGACCAGAGCAGCCGCGCCCGCGCATCGAAAGTGAAATTTCGAACTCGGAACATACGCAACGGAGGTCATCGCCCTCCCTCATTACGAAACTCGGACTGAGGTCAGTGTTAATAATGCCATTTCTAAACGCGCGGAATTTTGTTTACGCGTTATTTTATAACCCTCCTTTTTTTATTAAACAATAATGTTTGTTTTAGAATAATTTGTTTCGGAACATAAGTAGTTCCTTTTTGGACGTTTCGGACTTGGTGTTAATAGTGGACTTGAGGACTAGGCGAAAAAGAATGTGTAAGATTTTTCCGTACTTTAAGCTTCGTTTAACCGAGTGTTCCACGACACTCAGGCATGCTTTTATTGTCTAAAGTATTTATCCCATTTCTTTTTTTTACAACACACACCAATTAGCCTAGACCTAAAGTAATAAGCACTATAAGGCTTGTGTTATGTGATACTAACGGATAGAATACATATACTGTACATATATATCTGTATTACGGATTACTGTATATTTATGTAGAAATACATATTAATATCCATGACTGGAGTACAAATGCTCGTATTCATCACACAAACATCTTATCCCACCGTGATTCGAACCCGGGACCTCTCGAGTCCGCGACACCATGGAACCTGACGTAGGAACCACTCTGTCACGGAGGTATTTCTTTATTGCATTATCTGCAAATGGAAGGCTTTGTCCGTTAACGCGTGCCCTTCCACCTACAAGTAGTAGAGGGGAATCGTCTGATGGATTCTTCCGACAGTTCAGATGCTCTCCAGACTCCCGAAAAATAGCGACCCGACCCACAAACGTAGATAATGATGTGATGATACATTTAAGGATGGACTGACCGACAAGAATTATTATTTAACAATGGTACACGAGACGTTATACACTGACCGCAGATCTACCTGGTACATTGAAATGATTTGCATTCATCCCAATTCTTGTGAACAAAGCACATGGCTGTTCCTATTAGACTGCATTAGACCAATACAAAAACTTATAACGTGGAAAAAGTATTACTGAACAATAGTAGTGAATTTTACATTGTAAAAAATAAGGAACGGAAAATATACACACGATTGAATGTAACTGAATGGGCACCAGTGACTAGGGTTACCATTAGTCTGATTTTTCTTGGCATGTTCGGACTTCTACATTTTGTCCAGATTTTGGCTGGCTTTAATATTTGTCAGGTTTTTTTGGCACCATGAAAATTTCTTAGAAAACCAGTTTTTTTTATATTTTCCTCCATCCATACTGTTTGTATTTTGTATTCAAATGACTGGACTTTTATAGAAAGCCCGAGTTTTAGTCAGAATTTTTAAAAAATCTTAATGGTAACCCTACTCGCGACGAATCAACCTCGATTTTGCGAATGTTTTCGCTCTATAGTTAATTACATACCTTTTGTTGTTTTTTTTTATATAAAAAGGTAGATTAGTTTCGTGCTTTGAAAACAGTCGGGTAGCTAAGTAATAGTTAATAATTATTTCTACTTTCAGTTAGCAGTACGATGACGCTTGTTTTTAGACGTCTTGGTAGGTATTAGTGGCACGCGACCTGAGCATTCTATAGCTAACTATACATAAACATAAATTTCCACCTATGTAATTACTTAGTACGTATGAAAGTTTAAACATTAAACAAACATTATACTAAAGCATAGAAAAAAATAACATGCTTCTTTTGTTAACGCAAATTTTCCATTACATGCAAACACAGCGAATTACCATTGATATATGGAGTGCGTCTACGTACAGATCAATAATGATTTTAATAAATTTCTTATGACCGGCCTGAAAGGATCCTTATATTACGAAAGGTGAAAATTAATAAAGTATTTTTCTATTTTCATAATTTAAAATGGATTGCTATTTACTTTAACGCGTTTACAAAAAAAAATATGCATTTAGATTTTCAATGACACATTTTCATTTTAACAATATACATGAACATTGAATCGAACATGGTAATTACTGGCTCTGTCGTACAAAATCACGTCCACCGCAACAACAATGGAATGTATCGAATGATTTTTAGAATTCCTCGCGCTAGCAAAAATAACGTTGAATCAACGTTTTTTTTCTGCACGCGCCTGCGCACGTTTCGCCTCCACCACTTTCGTTTAGCGGTGAAGTGGCATGTTACATTATATGGGGGTTGTTGCAACCATCAGACCTCACGTACTACCAACAATAACATCACGTAACTATCGAATGCAAACATCGAGAAAAAATCGGTGAGAGTGAAACTCGTCTGTCTGATGGGTGCGGTAGAAAAAAAATGATTAGGAATGTGGTAGCGGACGACGCATGCGTTTATTTTGGAATAGAAACAACGAGCCAAAAAGATAAAGTTTTCAGTCTCACGATGGACTTGGATTGGAGGGTCATCATTATCATCATCATCAGCTTATTAATGCCCCCACTGCTGAGGCACAGGTCTTTCCCTATGGATGGAATAGGGAGATTGGGCCATTACCCACCACGCGAGCCCAGTGCGGATTGGTGGGTGCTAAGGACTGCAGATGCAGCCGGGACCAAGGGCTTAACGTGCCTTCCGAAGCACGGAGGAGCTCGAGATAATAAATTTTTGGTCACCCGTCCAATGACCGACCACTGCGAAAGTTGCTTAACTTCAACGATCGCAGCCGAACGCGCTATCCACTTGCGCCATCGAGTTCCCCAAGTTTGCTGGGTCAGCTAGTATATATATAATATTAGGATACGAACTAGCACCTTTCTCCTTCTGGGCAAATGCACTCACCGCTATGCTACCAAAAGCTTCATGGGTGTTTCCAATCTGTAACAGCATATCGTAAGCTACAAGACAGCGCTATTTCTGTTCATTGTACAATGTCAAACGAAAATAGCAAAAGAATATATATAAGAATAATAATAGTAGATTTGTTGTCAACAAATCATTTACTTACGTGAAAATATTTTCAATGATTTCATTATATTTATTTATTTGAAAATCTAATCTATAAACTAGGTGAACGCAACAGTGGCAATGATTTCTCTTCTTTCGAATCACTTTAGAACAGAAACCTAAGGAAATAATGTTTTATAATATTACAAAATCAGCAACAGTTGCAATGACACACCGTATCCAGCGCGTGTGAATATTGAACGCGTGCGTTTTTGTTTGCCCGCCTAGGGGACAGCTTTAGCTTTTGTTACAAAACTAAATGCCTTAATTATACCGCTTTGTTGGAAACTACGTTCGTTGAATATATTGTGGTCCGTTTAAATGTGGAGTACCTATTTACGTAAAACCAAAACTGGCGAGTTATTTGGGTTAAGCGTTAGGTTAACTATGATAGTACTAACTCAGAAGTAA